TGGTCTTTTTCTTTCTTCTCAAATTGCTCAGTGGTGGCTAATCCTTTGAGCTTCTTGTATCTGTCATATTTTCTGGCTTTCTTTTCCTGTCGCTCTTGCTTCCTCCTTTTCTTTCTGCTCAACATCACACGTGGCCTAACTGCCGATGTGGGTGAGGCCTCAGGCTGTCTGGCCTGTAGCGAGCCGGCCTGTAGGCATCCTACGGGCATTCAGGTGCAGTTTTACCAATACCATAGACTATTATTTTTTATTTATAGTATTCATTGCTGCATCAAAAAGTCACATGCCAACTGCCAATTGAAAATAGGGTGGATCCCATTCCTTGGCTCTGCTGTCTTAGCCTGTCTATCTTCCTGGCAATATGGACAGGTCTAATGAAGGTATGTTATTCTATAGATACTTAATCTGGATCTATGTTAATTTTTATCATAATTTTAGCTGGACTCGCCAAAGCTAGCCCTTTATGCTTAAGTTTATGTACAATTTTCTATTGTTGTCTCACTTTGTCTTGCATTGCTATCGTCATTTTTTTGGGTATCAGAAATCCAGTTGCAGGCCCTACTACTTCTCTTCAAGTTGGAGATATTCTATCTAATAGTTCTGCTCTAATAAAAGCTAATTATTCTGTATCGTCAGCTACATTTTTTATGTTACCAGAAGGTACTGTATATGTGACAGCCACAGAACCACCGAAAATTACTGACCATCTTCCTCCTAAACATCTTTCCGTCGGTTCAATTCGATACGATTTGAATTACCTTGGACTCGTCACACCAATCTATTTACTTCCTGGATCTATACTTCATTACAATGTATCAATAACATCGAATGAAAGACTTGATTCCTCATATTCAGCTTGTTTATATCTCTTCACAAGTCTTACTCGATTTCAAAATTTCTTGTCATTTGTAGAAAATGATAATTCAAGTAACATGATTTCATATTGTTTTACATCACCAGTTACTCCAAGGCAGCCTACTCTAGCATCTCATTCTTTTGACATTGTTGAAGCTTCAAAATATTATGTTGGAGTTGAATTAGTAAGTGGTGTCAATGTCATTATGATGGCTAATGTTTCTGTTGTGCGTGTATATTATGATACAAGAGGTCTTTCACCGCATTGTAACATGGTTCAATTTTGTTACATTGATATATGTGATGAATTACTCTGTAGTCACTCTTCAAGTTCAGCTACTTACATTCTTGTTCAAGCACCTGCAGATAGTAGTATACAATATGAAATAACAACAGCTGCTCTTTTTGGAGCAAATTATGCTTACTTTCTTTTAGCTTTGTCATTAGGAAATTTCTCTTTTTGCTGCTGCTTCATCTGTTATTATTGTTGCTGCATTGCGTTGCGTAGTCTATCAATTGATGATAGCTCTGAAGGAAGAAATTATTCCCGATTGAAGAACTATGACGACTCAGAGTTTGAAAATTCTTCTCATCAGTGGGATCATGAGGAATCAAATGCTAACCAAATTCTCAGAAACTTTTCTGAATTTGAACAATCTCAATTAACAAATTATTCAGAAGATTCAAGCGAACATGACAACTCAGGATTTGAAAATTCTCCCCAGCAGTGTGAGGAATCTCGGTTAACAAATCTTTCAGAAGATGTAGAAAAAAATTACCATGACAACCCGGAGTGTAAAAATTCTATTATTTTTTCACAATTTTCTGAACATGTTCCACTGACTCATCATGTAGAAGATGTTGAACTGAGCACAGTCTCATCATCGGATTCATTAATCTCGGAGTGGCTTGAGACACACAATGAGACTACAGAGTCATATCTCTCAATTAATAGTAATTTTATTACTGGTTATGAAATAGATGGTTTAAATCAACTGAGAGAAGAAAAAGAGCCTGACCTTCAGCTAGTTGATTTTTCAGCTGAGACACACTGCTATCTTAAAAACCATGGACACCAAGATACAAGCTTGGATTCTATTTGCACACTAGATACAAGGAATGATCCCATATCAGTTGCTGCAGGTAATCGACAAGTTAAAGGGTCTATTTAATAATTATTCTTTTTATAGATATTTTTGGAGATGTTGTTCAGATTCCAATAGACAGGAGTGGTTTAGTGCATCACTGTAGTCAGTATGGAGTGACTCTCATTATTCCAGAGGGAGCAGTACAAGAGTCAGCTACTGTATGGTTTGGAGCATGTCTCTTCAGTGATAAGTTTAAGTTTGGTGATTATGTACCAGTCACTCCTATTGTATGGGTACACATTGATGCAATATTGCACAAACCTGCAGAATTATACTTTCCTCATGACATTGTAATTTCCAGTGAAGCAGATCTGGAAAAATTTTCTGTACTAACAGCTGATGATAAGGGTCACTCCAGCATACTGAAATTTTACCAAAAGTGTCATTCCCCAGCTGTTGAAGCCTGTTTAAAGTTTTTGCCTGTCTTTAAAATTGAATGCCAACATTTTTGCTCAAATTGTGTTGCCATTCACAACAGACAATACAAAAGGATTGCCAAACGATACCTAATGGCACGAGCTGAGAAGAGTGAGAACAATTGTTTGACTATTGAATTTATCTTTTTATGTCTGCAGCAAGGCTGTAAAAAGGTTAGACTTAATGTTATTAGTAGACTAATTTTAAAAATTCTATAAAATAGATGATTGAAGGTCAATGTGCTAAACAAGGATTCACGATAACATCGTATAAAACAATAACTTTTACTGGAGATGGCCAAGTATCACTGTCTCTTGAACCAGATTCCTTTGATGGTTGGAAACAAAAGTTTGATGATCTACACAGTGAATATGTATGTTGTAATATAAAAATATAAAGTACTTTATCTATAGCAAAAATATAGATTTCTGAAAAAAGCATAGATTACTATGAAATTATGGGATGTGAGAAAGTTGGAGAAGTGACTGAAGATGAGCTTGAACGACTTGATCTTCTAGAAGAAGCACTTGCATATCCTCCTCGCTTCAGATTAATTTTTACAAGAGATGGTTCATTTGGCCAACACAGTAACCAGGAAGTGACAGTCACATTCAATCAAGTTGATCCACCATTAGTCAGTAAGATCTATTTGGAGGGTCATGGAGCTGCACAGCCTTTGTCACCTGCATCTTCATCAACAAATAGTCAATCATTTTCAATTGGTAAATACAAACTCTACAATAATTGTGCATGATCCAAGTAAATTTTTAATTAGATACTGATCAAGAGTTAGGCGAGATGATTCACATTATTACATCAGAAAATTTCCTGAAGGAGAAATGGTACACATTTGGATACCATCTTAAACTTGAAACTGACCTGCTCAATGAGATTGAGACCACTTGCACTAACCCTAATCAGTGTACAAGAAGAGTGATATTACACTGGAGAGGGATAAACAAACCAGAGTCGGGTACAGATGGATATACATCATGGGAGCCAGTAGCAACAGCTCTCACTCAAGTTGGGCTAAATAATTTAGCTCGCAAAATCAAACGTCACTTCAATCCACCAATTGAACCCGAAGCAACAAATCAGGGAGTTTATTGTTCACTCTGTAATGAATATCATGGTGATGGCTTGCAGCAACATGCATCAAGTAAGCTACTACATGTAGCACTTCATTATCTTACAATTATCTAGGTACTATATCTATATTGAACAGTTCCCCTGATATCTCTCAACTTACTAACTTGGTAGCAGCAAAGATTGAAGATAAGTATTTTTTGTTTGGAACAGCAGTTGGTTTAAACATTGGTTACATAAATGGCCTTGGTTCTGATTATCGTATGTGTAAAGAGAGATTTATTCAAGTACTTTATACATGGAGTAATAGTAAACCCAATGAATTCACATGGGACAATGTTATTAAAGCATTACGTTCTGACACTGTGGATGCTGCTGAAGTAGCTCTTGATGTTGAAGATCATCTTTTCTCTAAGACCAAGTAGAGGCTCATGATTTTTAGGGTCATGTACTTATGCAAACAGTATTTTTTATCTTTTTAGTATAGTGTAATAATTAACTTTTAGCAATGCTGAAAAATTACTACAACTATAAAAAATAGTTATGAACATGATATCAATATTTGAAAATACAACACAAAATAAGAGTATATTATTATCAAGACTTTTGCAGGAGCTCCTGCTCATCGGATACATTTAGAATCAAACTGTCCTCAAAATATCATCTCCTGTAGGTTCATCCAACTTCTCAGCAACAGCCTCTTTAGATGAAGCTAGTTCCATTGGAATATCCTCCTCTTGTTGCTGCTGTTCCTCTGGAGTAGTACTCTGGAGCAGTACTGGATAAAAACATCAATATGCATCAGAAAATGCAATAAAAATGGGGGGGGGGGATTTTGGAGCCATTTTTTGGAAAAAAGCATGGGCTATAGCCTTGGGTATTTTTCAAAAATTGGTCATTTATTAAAAACGGCCATAACTTGGAAAATTAAAGTCGGAATCACCTCAAACTTTCTACACAGCATAAAGACATCAATATGTATCAGAAAATGCAATAAAAATTTGGGGTGATTTCGGAGAAATTTTTTGTAAAAAACCATAGCCTTACAAAAGAAAGAATTTTTATTAGAAAAAGAAAACAGCACAAGTAGGGAACAAAATTAATTAAGTTAGAAAGAAGATAAAAATGAAGTAAAATAGGTTAGGTTAGGAAAATAAATAAGTAAATTAATAAAATAAAATAAATCTAGTGTGCAACACTGAGATGAGCCTCAGATGCTGCTCGGCTAAAGTCACAAGAGTCAATGGACATGTGTTTGTATCAAGACCGACACCCCCGAAGACACCTTATAGCAGAGCGTATGATTGAAAATGAGTACCAGCACTGTATGAAATTGATGGTGGTGCTGTATTGATGCTGGAATTTCTCTGCGTAAAGTAAAGAGAGTCGTTTGATGAACTGTGTAGCAACTGGTCCACAGCCACCGGACGATAAAAACACCATAGCCCTGGGTATTTTTTGAAAATTGGCCGTTTCTTAAAAATGGCCATAACTTGAAAAATTGAAGTCGGACTCACCTCAAACTTTCTACACAGCATAAAGACATCAATATGTATCAGAAAATGTAATAAGAATTGGGGGTGATTTCGGAGCCATTTTTTGGAAAAAACGATGGGCTATAGCCTTGGGTATTTTTCGAAAACTGGCGATTTATTAAAAACGACCATAACTTGAAAAATTAAAGTCGGAATGACCTCAAGCTTTCTATACAGCATAAAGACATCAATATGCATCAGGAAATGTAATAAAAATTTGGAGTGATTTAGGAGCCATTTTCTGGAAAAAAAACCATGGGCTATATGAGCTACTGGCTATATCTTAAATTACCTTGAATTATCTTCATTTAAAGTTCTAGCTTTAGTTTGTATGTCAAGAATAACATCCTATTAGTATTAGTAATAATTACAAAAATACATAATTGGAATGTTACTTTAAGAGCTAAGCTGTCGTTTCTCCTAATCTCCATACCACAAGCTATTAAGAATGAGAGAGAGAAGTTAGTAGATAAGAGAGGAAATGTCATATAGTGGGAAATTTTGGAGGGGATTAAATTTAGCGTTTTGATAGCCATTTACCAAATAAAATCTGCCATTTTGAACCTTTATACGCATGCTCAATGGCATTGTGGCCATTAATTTGCCAATCAACTAATTAAATTTAGCAATTTGCCAAATTTAACTCCCAGTAAAAGAATTATAATAGTGATGATGGTCTGTCATTGGTCATATGATTGAACTTACTCTTCAATATCAGTACCAGTAGGTCCAGATCTCTCTCAGTTAAACTATCTAATAACTTACGAATGATATCATAAATTAGAACACACTGAACAACCTATGAATACAAACATACACATACTGTATATCCTTAAATAGAAACTGCATGAAAATAAACGCCAGGGTAGCAATACAATTCAAATATAAATACGCAAATGTAACCAGGACATGACTCAGTAGTCTTGTGGATACTGCCTAAAGTTCCTGAAGTCAAGGGAATGAGGTCACGGGTTTCAATCCCGCTCTGGGCCAAAGTTTTTTTATTATTTAAATTTTTTTGAGGTCCAAATACCATTTTAGGAAATAGACACCCAGGTTTTTATTTAAGGAAATATGGTAACTATATACAAATATAAAATCATAATAGTCTTACTTTGAAATTGTATAGGTGACTGATGACCAGTAAGAGACAGTCACATTCTTTACCTTTGCCATAGGAAGGGGAAGAAAGCAACTCATTCAACTTCTTAACCAGCTGAGATAATACAGCAAACCCTAACAATAAGGAAGAAATAATACTTTAGAATAACTTTTAATTATGGGTACAAGTTATTGCCATTTCAATTCTCAGTAGATTTTGTTGGTACTAATAACTGCGATTAGTAAATTACTGTTAACAATTAGATATATGGCATATCTACATGTAACTACCATATACGGGTTATATTTCACTGGAAATAAATTTCGTGAATTACGTGTTTTCATTAAATTTGCAAAATTAAATCCCACTAGGATTCGCGAAAAATTATACCAACAAATGGCAAATCTGGACAAATTCGTGAAATTTTATACCAACAAATAAAACCCCTATACAGTATTAGGTGTGTACTAATTTTTGCAATTTTTATTCCAATAGCAAAACAAGCAGTTAATAGTGACAATAGACAATAGTGCTCAAAATTAAAAAGTAGTCAAACCTAATAACCAAACATGTACATGTACATGTATCTTAGGGCATCTTTTTCTTTACCTACTTCACTCCCAATCTTTTGATGGAGTAATGTCACTAGCATGACCAGCTCCATTGCAAACTTGTCCTTTATAAGTATTGGCTGAATCACTGACTTGAGAAAAACCTCACAAAAACACTTTGTCACTTCTAAAATAAGCAAAAAATAAAACAATCAATCACTCAATGTTGATATCTATACCATATAACTCCAAATTTTTGTCAGTCAAAAATTTCGTCAAAATCTTAAATTCTTGTTAAAATTAATTTCGTGGGTTAAAAATTTCGTTGAGCAAAAATACCTGACAGATTTGACAAAAATATTGACCGATGAAAGTTTGGAGCTATACGGCAGTTACCTCTTTGGCTGTTCTCTCTATACAGCTCTTCTATTGTAGTGAACATTGTCTGTATATTAGACTCATTCAGTTTATTCATTAGTCCTTGGATCCTCTTATTAACATTAGGAGATGAAGAGGAGGTAGGGATAGAGGAGGATGTAGAAGGATTTTGTGTAACAAAAGTTTCAGGAGCAAAAGTAACTTTCTTCTTTTTCTGAACGTCTCCATCTCCTTCAGAACTCTCTCCTAAAGATATATCTTCTTTCTCTATTTCTTCTGTCTCTTCTTCCATTGATGATTGATAGTCCTCCTCTTCAGAAGGCAACTCCTCCTCTTCCTTTTCTCCTTCAATGGATGAAATGTCATTATCACTTTCACTGTTGGTGTATCTTGCAAAATCAAGAACATCTTAAATACATCAGTTAAGGATCTCTAGATGATAACCATAACAATAAGAAATTGGGATCAGCCATCTTTTTTTATATATGTACAGTACATGTACATGACTCTATGCTAAACAAAGCTATACGAGTTAAATATTAACGTAATTACTTTTACACGGCTATGGATTTATGGTCCTATGCCACTCCACCCCATTAATTAATACTATTAAATTTATGGTAATTAAAGGATACAATCCAGTCCATCACGTATGAATGCATTTGGAAGCTTTTTCTGCTTCTCTCTTTAATCGACAAAAGTTTCTCTAATTTCTTGAGTTCTCTCTTCTCCTTTTCTATCCCTTTATCTTCTACTACAGCCTTCCCTTGTGTTTGTTTCTTTGAAGCTAAACGTCTTTTCCTCTTGGCTGGAGGGATCTCTGGTCTTTTTTTTTCTTCTGTCACGACTCTAGATTGCTCAGTGACGGATAATCCTCTTAACTTCCTGTATCTGTCATGTCGTCTGGCTTTCCTTTCTTGCCTCTCTTGTTTTCTTCTCTTCTTTCTGCTCAACATGATGAGAGCACTCGTGAGAGCATGCACGTCCCTGAAGTGGGAGGGATCGTTCATAGATATTAATTGCGAGGCTGCGAGCGGTAGCTAGCTATGGGGGAGGTCGGGTGCAGTTGTCTGAAGCAGGGGAAGATGCTCGGGAAGATGCTGATTAGTGTTCTGTCTCTCAGTCTCGCTATTTATTCAGTGGATTCTTGTTCAACAGTATCTAGATCAGGTGTATCACTAACTGGAATATGTCCTAATGACAGTTTTATTGTACCTGTTGGAACAACACTGTCTTATGAGTGCACTATTGGTGGTTTTACTCAAGACTATGTGCTTTATTGGAATGTCAGTGGAACTGCTTACAATTGTTTCAATTATAAGCCACCTGGTATAAGTGTAAGCCTTGATGGTTCTTTCAAAATTATGCCTAATAATTCTGAATATTATATTCAATGTGGGATGTGTAAAGGTCTTAACTGTCTCCTCAGTGATGATGTACAGGAGTTTATTGCAACGAAATCAATTCAACTGATTGCCTTTGGTACATTATTATTTTAATAAATTCAATAACTGTCTCTTTTAGGACCTCCTTCTTCATTATCCCACGAGTTAAGAGACAATGATACTGTTAAGTTGTCATGGTCAACTCCTTCTCTTCCTCCTTCAGTAAATGAAGATGATGTATCATTCACATATAATATAATGATAATGGAGTCGACTAATAGTTCACTGACAGTAACTGATATAAACATCACTAACAGTACATATGTCATAATATCATCTGCTAATATTAATGGCTATGCTAAATGTACTTCATATCAATGGGGAGTAAGAGTAGCAGGTAGTTTAAGTTATGGATTTACTAATGTAACAATGGCAAAGGAAATTTTCACTTTGATTTCTGGTAGAGTAAAACTATTATTATAATTATTATTGGTTATACTTTATAGGTTCTAAAATATCTAATGAATTGGCTGTTATTAATGATACCATTGAATTCAATGTAAGTACAGCTACAACTAATTATTATTATTTTTATTATTATTATCAAATAGGTTACAGGTCCATGTGATATTTTAAGCAATGATACATATACTTTATTACAAAGAGATTACTGTCAGACACAACTCAATTCATCACAACTTAATATGAGTATACTTGATGATAGTGTTGTTCTACTTAACATGTTGATATCAATCAGTGTTAAAATTACATCACTGATTCATGATTCAACGTGGTCAGTTGCTGTTAATGTATCAGACAGGTTTGGTTCTGATACTACAGACTATACTAACATTACTGATAATTCAGGTATAATATGTATAATTAATGTCAATTCTTATTAGTTTATTTTATAGAAGCTATTCAGGACTGCAATCCGATGACCTCTTCATCAGTATCACAAGCATCATCATCAAATATTTTATCTAGTGTAATGACATGTAAGTCAAACTTTCTTCTCTTTCTCTCTCAATTTCCCCCATGTCTTTTATGTGTTGTATAGTAACATGAGAAAGTAATGCTGTCATTCTTTTTTTTGGGGTAGATACTGTTTATCCATTTTCCTCTCCCGTTCCTTCTGTTACTCCAAGTAATATATAAACCAATTCATGTACCATATCACTACAATACTTGTTGAACAGGTGGAGAAAGTGGTAGAAGTAGTTGGACAAGTACTGATACTACTTTAGTTGTTTTTGGAGGAGTAGCCCTGCTTTGTATAGCAGTTGTTATATATGCTGTTATGTATAAAGCAAAGAATAATCGGACATCCTGTAACATACAAAATGGTAATTATAAGAAAGAGAGAGAGAGAGTGACCGACTGACTGAGATTAAGTGTTAGAGGGGAAGGGAAATTTGGAAGTATCGAGCTAAGTTATTTTATCTAGTCATGTTTGTCTTAATTCTAATTTTAGTTGTCAACAAAGTAAAGGGTCTTAAGTGAGTTTAGAATAACAATATAAACATAATTATTGCATTCTATTATTTACACAGACTAATTGACACTAGCATGGTGTCTAGAATAACAATTGAAGTAAGAGATATGTGATATGTTGACTGCTCAGTTTATTTACTCATACCATTTCTCCCCCCTTTTCTTCTCCTCTTCTTTCTCTCTCTCCAGAGCTCACCAGTTAGTTCAGCAGACATTGTTAATGAAAACTACGGTAATGTAGAGACTTCTTTTCAGACAGACCAGGTAATGTACACATGTAAAAATTGTATTCATAGTTTCTACGATGCCTACTTGCAATTGACCAATGAAATTGCAGTATTGTAGGTTAATTATTTTTTATATTCCAGCTCGTTAAATTAAATTAATCGGCACTCTATGCATATGCTTGATAGTTGATATCATTTGTATTCAGCCTTGATTGATTTTTTTACTTGCCTAGCCTGTTAGATATGTTGCATTCATATGTCTTGTTATCTGCAGCTGGTAGTTGTTTTTCAAGTGTCATGGTAGAAGTTGGTTATACAGCACTTCAGTATCGGTTTTTATGGCATTTATTAACCTCTCAACTGCATCACTCGGTTAATAAATCCCTACTTTGGTGTATAAAATATATGCAATTGAATTGAAGATACACATCTCACAGATATCTGTGTAAATTTAATGAATTAAAAACATTGGCCTGCTGATTGTAATCCTGCAGGACCCTATGTATCAAAGGCCATCATAGGCTCTCTCTCAAGCAAAAGCACTCCCACCATCTTTAGCTTATGCTGAACCAATAGCAGCCCCACTTACATGTACGTAAGACGTGGATTGGTGGTTGCTAAGGCTTGATATTTCAACCAACGCGTATAAAAGGAATGTAAGTGTGACATATAATATATATATACATTACGCGTGGGTAAAATCAGTTATAAGAACAATCTGGGGGCTTAAAAATTTAGTTTATGCACACATGATCAGCATGAATATATTTAACAAGAGGGTACTTGCCAACTGGTGTGATAATAAATCCTACACCATTCTGCATGAACCTGCCAAAGATACCAAGTCCCACAGCATAGCAGTCATGAAGGCTGTATCTTTCATGCAGGATTTCTTATCACACCAGTTTGCAAGTACCCTCTTGTTTCTTTACTTTTTCCCAATTTAATCCTACTACTTTTCCGTTTGTAATGTTTTTATTTCCTTGTTGTAATTATAGACCATTTTAATTATTATGAATTTTCAATTCTTTTTCTCTTGGCAGGATCCACTGCCTCTTGCTCCCAATGAAGAACCTGATGAGGTAATAATGATTGTTGTTGTTCTTGTTATTATTATTATTATTGTTGTTGTTTTTGGTTATTTTTGATAGGCAACACCAGATTCAGAGTTAGCAACACACCAGTATGCTGTTTTAGATGAAATAAGTAGTGATGCACCGATACAAATTTTTCAAAACCGATATTAACCAGCCGATTATTTTGTGGAAATTGCATTAACATGGCCGATACCGATACTTTTATGAAAATGTTTTTAAGAATGAAAATAGTCAATTGTTATCCTTAAAACAATTGTTGATTAGTGTCATTAATATTTATAGTCAAAAATTGGTAGGTTCTTTCTTAAAAACTGTAGCATCTCTGATTTCTATGTACTCAAACTGTTTTTTTCATGTCATTTTATGGTATTTTTTAAAGAATTATTATACTCATCAACAGTTCTTATATCGGTAACTTATTTTGGCTATACCGATATCAACCGATTTTGATAAAAATGGGCCGATACCGATATTAGTGTCGGTATCGGTGCATCACTAGAAATAAGGTCAAGGAAGGTAATAATAACACTAAACACACACACACACACCTATACTCCCAAAAACCAATGATCAATGACATGTCAACATTATGCTTTCATGTAACACCTACACACACACACACACACACTTACTGTACCTAAAACCATCATTTATCTTGTACCAATCATGCACATGTAATTGTGCTTTCATGTTTGTTATCATTATATTTTCATTTTGTACATACAGAGATGTGCTTCTCCACCCATTATTCTTGATGAAAGCATTGATTGATTGCATCATGATAGACTCATTCATTCGAGACATTGTATTTTAATCAGCAATAATGACAGTGAAAAACAGTGATGATCAATCTGTATTGTAAAATGTTATAATAATAATAATAATAATAATAATTGATTTTTTCAAAAAATGGCAATAATTATATACAGACAACTAAGAAAACTGACATGAGAACTTTGAAGGGCTAAAGCAAATGAATGCCTTGCCTAGAAATAAAAATAATTGCAGATTAGGAAACAAAGCATGAAGAGCATGGGCAAACAAAATGATAAGAATGGGGGGAAAGATCAAAATTAGACATAAAATGGGACCACAAATAATTATAAATCTGTTTCTTAATTAAGTTGAATGACTTTGATAGGTCTATTTGAGGGAGATTATTCCATAGCCTGACTACCCTTGCAAAATAGAAGTGGCGAGTAGTGGACAGTCGATGGTACTGACAATAAAGTTTCCCTGATGAGCCAGATCTAGAACCTGGTGGACAAAAGGACACATAGGAGAAGATATTAAAATTATCAAATGGGAATAGTATACTTCTGACAAGAAACAAAATGTCCTGGAAGTCAAGCCAGTACATCAGAGGAAGGAGGTGTAGCTCGATAAGACGGTCTTTATAAGATGGCGATGAGGTAGAAAGTAGATATTTAGATGCCCGGCGTTGGATCCTCTCTAATACAATAATATCTTTAATAGTACGGGGACTCCATAATTGACAACAGTAAGAGAGCTTTGATCTAACATGGGTCAAGTAAAGGCTCCTCTTAAGGGAGACATCTGTAGAAGAAGTAAGAGTTCACTTAATTAGATGGAGAGAAGTGTATGCACTCTTACAGATCTTGGAGTAATGAGATGACCATGACAAGTCAGATGAGTAAAAAGTAATGATATATAATAATAAATCTGTTACAGCTCCAATGAATGAGGAGAGGGAAAGTGGTGTTTAAAAATAAAAAATACATGACACAGTGGTGCATGCATACAAAAAATGCATTTCAGTCTCTTCAAGCAATTTTCTTATTTCTTTTCTATAGAAAGACAAAAACAGCTAGGCACATACTAATTATATGTTGAGTACATGAACCTTTCAAAAGAATCCAGGATATACATTTATTAATAATAATATAAGTTGTAGCTTGCAACTGCAAGAACTTTATAATAGCAACTAACAATAAGAGACCACTACATACAAATGACAGAAATATATAGAGCACATAAAGTATGATTGCTGTGATAATCAAGATTTCAGTAGGAGCTCCTGCTCATTAGATACATTTAGAATCAAACTGTCCTCGGAAATATTATCTCCTGTAGTTTCATCCAACTTCTCAACAACAGCCTCTTTAGATGAAGCTAGTTCCATTGGACTCTCCTCCTCTGGTTGATGCTGTTCCTCTGGAGCAGTACTCTGGAGCAGTACTGGAGCAGTACTTTGCTGCTGCTGCTGTGGTGCATGACACGGCAATGCTGCATACTGATACTGTGGTAATGCAATAGGTTGTTCTGAATCTGCATCTTCAACTGCAACTGTTGTATACCTCACTGTACCAGAGGCACTGCTTCTCCGTATCTTTTTTCTAACAATAAACACAACACATAGTGCAGTAAGTACTGTTAGGACTGTTAGAACAGCAATGGCAATCATAACAGAAATCGCAATAACTACAGAAATAAAAACAAGTAGTATATAATATTCATTATTTTTGCATAAAATGATACTCACTTAGAACTTTTGTAAGACTAATAGTGCTATCTGTTGATGATGAATCTGTAGGTGTAGCAATAGCACCATTACTACAATTATATACTGTAGCAAAATTGTTGCTCGATGACAAAGAGTATACTATAATAAATGAATAAATGAAACATTTAACTTAGGCACTGTGTAGTCTTACCGCACGAAACTGAGATTTGATGTGAGGTAGAGCAATAAGTATAATTTGAGCAGACACTATAGCAAAACCTTGAGCTAGTACCAGCCCAGATTGGTTGACTACTATCAGTAGGTCTAAATAATAAATTATAATAGCTAGGGGTTTCCAGTGTTTCATAGTGCATGCTTACTGAGATAAATTGTTGTAGCTCTCATAGTCAGTGTATCCTAACTGCCTGCAAATAGTGCTAGCATCACTTGAGGTAAAGCCAATGCTACAGATAGCTCCCCACTGGCCTTGACAGTATATCTCAACACGACCTTCACTTGAATAAATGCCTCCTTGAAGCCGGATCATACCATAGAATACATTAGCATTCCAGATCCTTGTGGAGTCTATGAAATATCATTAATGCTATCATTAATGTATAGTTGTACTTACAGCATTGAACAGTAACATCATGTGAATCATAGCTGCAGTATAAGCTAATAGTAGTATTTACATATGAGCACTGTAGCAATGTCAAGTATTCCCCTCTAGCACAATATAAATTAGTCAATTTAGTTGCACTGGGGTCTGTCCCATAGGTTCCTCCATCTCCAGCTGTAGAATAACTTGAAGCACCACTGTATCCTAACTGATGACAAACAACATTGGCCTCAGACTGGCTATAAGAGTAGTCGCATATATTTCCCCATCCACTGTTGAAGTATACCCGCACTATACCATGGGAATAAGAGCTTGAAGCAGTCCCTCTTTGATATAGTACTACTGTTCCACGGCTAGCAGTCTCTATAAGCAGTGTAACAGTAAATACACATGGTTAGTGATAGAGGTTTACCTGGATTATAACATTGTGTACTAGTCTTCACAGATTCTGAACTCTCACCTATATGTATAATAAGTAATAATTAGGCATCAATTTTACTATTTTAGTGACTCACCACACGAGAGGGTAACGTCACTAGAGTGAGAGCATGTAGTAACTGGTTCAGTTGGACAGGAATTACTTGAAGAAAAACAAGTATCACTGGATTTACTCTTCATGTTGGTGACCCATATTGGTTTATTAGTAGCAGCAGTGCTGTAAAATAAGGATAAAGATATCTCAAAAGATATACAAGGACAAATTTATTACTAACATTGATAAATTGTTGTATTTGTAATAAGTATCATATCCTAGTTGCCTGCAGAGTGTGTTGGCATCAGTAGAATCAAACCCATTGTTACATATTGTTCCCCATTGTCCATTACAGTATAGCTCAACACGACCTTCATTAGAGTAATACCCTCCCTGTAGACGTATCATTCCAGTGTACACTGAACTGTCCCAGATTCTAGTCCTATCTGTGGAACACATACACATGCACACATAAATGTATTAAAAATTGAGATATAAGTACATGTATATCTAAAGTTTTTTCAAATCTCCCCACTTTACAATTTACAAAATGCTCTTTTTATGGAGAGTAAAATTCTAAGCCAATTCAAATTGTGCAATGGACATTACGATGTTAATAATAATAATAATAATAAATTTATTAATGTTATGACTTACAACAGGAGACTGTAGCATCATAAAAGTCTTTCTGACAGCCAGGACTGATAACAGTGGAATAAGAACATTGAGCAACTGATAGTCCATCATTACTACCACAACTGAGATTACCCCATTTAGTATAAAGAGAATCTTCTCCATAACTATAGAGTATAAGTATTGATAAAATTAATAATCATGTCTATTAATTATAAAATCATACCCAGCTTCTCCATAATATGAATAAGATGCAGCTCCGGTGTATCCCAACTGGTGACATACCACGTTAGCCTCTGATTGACCAAACCCACTCCCAGGGCCACCACAGATGTTACCCCAACCATTATCATAGACTCTTATTATACCGGAAGAATAGGATTTAGAGGGGAGGCCCTTTTGTGTGAGAATAATAGTCCCCACAGGTAAGTCATCTAAAAATAAATGCATTTACAGAATTTACAAGAGTATGCAAGAATATGCAACAATACACAATAATATACAATGTAATATACAATAATATACAGAACATACATTAACATACAATACAATGGAGCTTACAGCTAAGCATATAAATGAGAATAAATAATAAACTGACCTATTATTTTATGTGAGCATGTTGAGACAGTGTTACCATATATGAGATACCTTGAGTTCTCTTCTATCATAAAACAAAAAATATACATGTCAAAAATATACATGTAAGATAATACATGAACATGTACATGTAGGTTTAACACTGACTAGGAAGTGTTAAACCAATAAAGACCTTTTGAGCTGTGAATGACTAAGTTTATAAATATCATTATTTTAAAATACGGTATCCACCTACTCATAATAATTGGCTGCCATTTTGAATGGCAAGATTCAATAAAGAAGGAATGGAGCAAACTATAAAAATGATTTGTTTGGCAGGTCTGGAACTCTTTCAAGCTACAAAAGTTGGTTGGAAAAAAGAATGGGTGCTACCAAGCATCTCATAAAACAGATTTGGTGCAATGTGCAGCAGATTTTTTAATAAAGCTTGCTTTCTGCTTTTGCTCATTGGTTCACCATAGAAAGTTTTCGTCCATGGAATTTATTTTCTTCTCTACCACACCCACTGCTGTATTTACTCTTGTGACGTACATTAATTCATTCTTAGCTTGAGAGGTTTATAAACAACAAATGCTATTATAGCTGTGCTGCCACATTATGAATAATGATGATGAACCCACTACCACATCTCGCAATGTGCAGGGGCATCGTGGTGGATTGCACTTTTCATAGAACAGTAATGGCAGCTTGGAATACTCTTTAGTCAAAAGAAGAAGGCTGAAGAATTGACTGGATGAAGCTATTATGAGCAAACCTTGTGCTAATATGACCCTAGGATGGCGACGGAGTCAAACTCTGAGACTGCTGGATCATGACTATGCCAGTAAAGATCGCTCTGGCGGGTTATCCAGAGTGTAAGAGCAAAAGGAATGCCATGTTCTTGAAGGCATATTGGGCAGACTTTTCTCTTTTACTACATTAATAGCTTTTAAAATTTTTAGTCAATTTGTGAAAACAAGCTCAAATTTACACAATTTTAATACTTCATTAGTCCTCAAAACATCGAAGAGAATTATTTATGAGTTGTTTATATGTACATTAACTCACTGCATGAAATAGTAACAGTCTTATAATAAATTGCACAGCTAGCATTCAGTGAATGAGAGGGACAACTGTTCATAGATCCAAAGCAAGTGTTTTCTCTACTGCTCATCTCAGTACTCCACACTGGCTGACTATAATTACGAGCTCTAAGACAAAAAAAAAAAACAAAAATAATTACAAATACAACACTATCACAGAGCCTCCATACATTGTAGTCAAGTGGTTATATTGCGAGAAAGACTCATATCCCAGTTGCCTGCATATTGCGTTAGCATCATCATCATAAAAACCACTGCTACATATTGTCCCCCACTGTCCATTGCAATATACTTCAACCAGACCTTCATTAGAGTAGTAACCAGTTATACGGACCATACCAGGGTAAGGATTACTATCCCACAACTTGCTTGAATCTACAAGTAATATATAATACAATTGATTATCTTACAGCAATTGTACAGTTACATGCAGCTATAGGTCTGGGTTTAATTTCCACAAAGCATGCTAAGTGAGCTAAAAAGCTGACAAGCACTACAAGTACAATCATTTATGCATTAATTTGAAGCAACTTTAAAATTTGTAAAAAATCCAAATTTGATTGGAATCAGCTCAAACTTTCTACACAACCTAAAAACATGTGTATGTATCAGGAAAAATGATAAAAATGGAGAAATCTCTCCTAGTCATTTTTAGCAAAATTTGGCCAATGACCCTGTATATGGTACAGGAACTTTGGCCTGATATTGGAGCAATTTTTTAAAAGTCTTTAAAAATCTAATGTTGGTTGGAATAAGCTCAAACTTTTTACACAACATAAGAACACGTATATGTATCAAAAAAAATTATAAAAATGGAGAAATCTCTCCTAGTCATTTTTGACAAAAATTTTGCCTACATGTATGTACTACTGTTGTATGTGCACACCTAATACATGTCCATAGTATGTAGCATTTTAATTTTAAGTTTCTATCAACACAAGTACAAGTACACGTACTTCCATAACTAACAATACATTGCAGTATGTCATGTACTTACAGCAAGTCACTGTAGCATCAGTTGAATCAGAGCTACAGTCACTATCAATGGCAGTAGAGTAGGTGCATTGAGCAACAGACAAAAAGTTACTGTCATCACAGTTGAAGTCATCCCATTTTGCTGACACATGATCAGTACCAAAACTACACAAATAAATTAAAAGTAGCACAATAGAGGCATATAGACACTGAATGATTGAAATCATTTATAAATTTTACCATACATTGTATAGTGGGAAATTTTGGAGGGAATTAAATTTGGCACAAATTGGCGTTTTTAGCCATTCATCAAAATAAAATTCAGCCATTTAGAGCCATTATACGCATGCTCAATGGCGCAATCCGCCAATTATCAAAATTTAGCAATTCGCGAAATTTTAACATTTCCAAAATTTCCTGCTATACAGTATGTAAAATATAAAAAAATAAAATGTTACTACACAAATAAAGGATATTAACCTTTCCACTCCAGCCTTAGAGTAGCTAGAGGCTCCAGTGTATCCCAACTGATGACAAATGACATTAGCTTCAGAGAGACCAAAACTATCATCATTACAAATGTTACCCCAACCATTAACATACACACGGACAATGCCAGAGTAGATCGTAGGCCCATCGACACTATGTCTTAGGAGGGTCACAGCTCCATTGGTAACTGTAAGAGGCTCTGCAATTGAAATATATACAGTTATACTATATCCCAACTGAGTTTGACAGCAGCCATTTGGAATTTGAAAAACATAGCCATATGTCACTGATGACGTCTTATAATGATATTCATAAAAGCATGGCTGATATTTCACAGCTGCGTGGTTATAAGTGGTCATAAAACATCATTTTGGTATGCCATTGGGTTTACAGGGAGAACCCGGTTCTCAGGGTTCCCAAGAGTTGAGAGACCCAAGACCTGAGATCCAACAATGGCATTGGGCGACTAAGAACCTGTGAAAGTTTCATCCTTATCCAACATTCCTATAAAAAGTTATTCCAGTCTTTCTTAGGCCAAACTCAGTTGGGATATACATGTACATGTAGTATAGTACTTAAAAGAATTTTTAAATCTATACTCACTAATCAGCCCCATACAAGTTGCTAGAGTCGTTCTTTGTCTGCCGGCATTATGTTGTTTCCACTCTAGATTATGAAATGTGAAATGATATTTTTTATAGTTTTTATAAGAAAAAGACCAGTATTGTAAAGCAGAAGCATGCTATCATATACACGTAAGTGGTTTTCAAAGGGTTGCAAATTTTGTGGATTTCATAAATTTCTTCTGGATTTTTGAAAATAAAATTCACAAAAATCGATTTAATACAGTACCCACATGGCACGTGGTAGAATTTGCAAAATTAAAATTTGTGAATTGGAAATTTAGTAGATTTTGGAAAATATAATTCCCTTGGAAAAACCACTTACATGTACATGCATGTGTGTACCGTATAGCGGAAAATTTTGGAGGGACTAAAATTTGGTAAATTGCTAAATTTTGGTGATTGGCGGATTTTAATTTGGCGAATTGGTGGCCACGTGCATTGAGCATGCGTATAATGGCTCAAAATGGCGGATTTAATTTTGGCGAATGGTAATCAAAATGCCAAATTCGCCAAACTTAATTCCCTCCAAAATTTCCTGCTATACGGTATATGGTAACACAAACAAACCTATACACATGCACATACAGTACTCTTTTACTTACTGCACTCTAGAGCAACATCACTGGAGTGAGAGCAGGTAGAGACTGATGATCCTGGACATGAATTAGAAGCTCCATAGCATTGCTCATTGACAGTGCTCCTCATGTTATTGCCCCATATAGGCTGACTGGAGTTAGCAGGACTGGGCCAATAATAGGAAAAAAAAATAATGACCTTTTCATTTTGAGCTTTTTTCTACTTTCTGTCTCTCTCTGTCTGTCTCTCTCTCCCCTCCCTTCCTCCCTCCCTCCCTCTCTCTCTCCCTCCCCTTCTCTTTCTCTCTCCCTCTCTCTCTCCCCCCTCTCTCCCTCCCTCTCTCTCTCCCCCCTCTCCCTCCCTCTCTCTCTCCCCCTCTCTCTCTCCCCCTCTCTCTCTCCCCCTCTCTCTTCCTCTCTCTTTACACTATTCCTAATACTTACTAAATTGTAGGGTAGTATCTATGATATGAATTATATCCCAGTTGCTTGCATAAAGTAAGGGCATCAGTTCCATCGAATCCATCCACACACATGGTCCCCCATTGTCCATTACAAAAGATCTCAAGACGTCCTACATTAGAATAGTTTCCTCCTTGAAGACGTATCATCCCAGGGAAGGGATCATCCCAGATCCTAGTAGTATCTGTATGCATAAACACATGGAGCAATGTAAAGTATCACATTGATAATGAGCTACATGTATTACATGTACATGTATATTTATAATGATTGATTTGTTAAGCATTTGGCTTTTCAACTAATCAGATGTAGTTACAACATTGTAGTACATGCATGCAGATGCAATATAATCTGCTGTACAAAATGCATTCAAAATTCTTGTTATTACTGTACACCTCCTGGTTAATGTTAGTTTAGTGACATAATCCCATTATAATAACAGACCCGACCCACGATAGACTTTTCACAAAATGTGAGTATAAAAGAGTAGAATTCAGACAGCCATCAGTACACTCACACCGTGAACTTAGAATAATCTCTACAAAAATTTTTGAATGGGATAAAACTATTGTCCCTGTATTTCTTTTTAATAAGTAATCAAATAAATAAAAACCTAAACAACATACATTTACATGTTCATTGTACATGTAATTTCATGCATAAGCATTGTTAAGCGCATTTGGCTTTTCAACTAATCAGATGAAGTTACAACATTGTAGTACACACATGCATTTAAACACATGTAAATGCAATATAATCTGCTGTAGAAGATGCATTCCATATTCTTATTATGACACTTCCTGGTTAATGTTATTTTAGTGACATAATCCCATTATAATAACAGGCGACCCACGATAGACTTTTCACAAAATGTGAGTATAAAAGAGTAGACTTGAGACAGCCATTAGTACACCACTGACCACACCATGAACTTAGACAAAAAATTTTTGAATGGGATAAAACTAATATCCCTGTATTTCTTTTTTGAATAAAATAGAAACACTGAACAATCATACATTTATATCTACATTGTACATGTAATTCTATGTATAAAAGATTTGTGCTGTTTCACAAATACCGTATGGCTAGAAAATTTCGAGGGCATAAATTTTCGTGTTTTAGTGAAAAGCTCTTAATTCTTTAATTTCGAGGGAGTTAAATTTCGCGTTTTTGCACGTGCACTTGCATTAAGTCATTGATTTTCACATGCTGCGCATGCGCAGTGAGCATTTCCATGGTATTAATTTTCGTGGTTAAGAAGTTACCCACAAAATCTGCGAAATTAAATACCCCACAGAATTTTCTAGCCATACAGTAGGGTAAAGCCTGGTTTACAATCACCATAAAACGCAACACAAAGGAACACAAAATTAAAATTTGGCCAATTTTGTGTAAACTTTAAAGGCTTTTGCATCAAAAGGTCAAATCGCCCACACACTTTTAACCATTTTGTCAAATTTAAACCAGGCTTAAAAATTGCATGACTGCATTCGCCCATAAAGCTGTATCTCACAATAACCAGTACTGTACTTATAACTTATAAATAGGTTACTGGACTTACAGCAGGTTACTGTAGCATCATAAGAGTCACTATAACAAGGAGTATTCCAGCCATACAGATTAAATGTACACTGAGAGATGGAGAGATAGCCACCATCACTACACGAAACACCACTTAAAGTTGTACTTAATAGATCCATTCCATAACTAATGGACACAATAATAAATAAGAAAAATATTATTATTATTATTATTAAAATTTATTAAAAATAAAACAATCATAAGGGACTTCCAGTCTTCCACCAGCTACTCTATTTAGCAATACAAATACTGTGTAGTTAGAAACTTATGAAGGATCAAATTTTCTTGACTGAAAGTTCACTTTAGTGGATTTAAATTTGTGAATTCAAGCATTCCGCCTAGATTTTTATGAATTTAATTTCAAGAATTTAAACAAATTGCAAAACTTAAGTCCCTCAATAGTTAACTATACATTATATATAATCTTTAAATACTGCATTACTTTTTTAGTCCAGCTCTAGAGTAGCTTGAGGCTCCAGTGTATCCTAACTGGTGACACACAACATGAGACTCATTGGCTCTAAAACTGTAATCATAGCAGATGTTACCCCAGGAAGAACCATAGATTCTAATGATGCCAGAAGTGAACAAAGCTGACGTGACATTGTTACGAAACAGTACCAGCGAAGTAAGCAACTTATCTTTGATAATAAAAAGAAAAAACCTTTGTTAATTTTAATGATCATAACTCAACTTGTAGGCAACACAAAAAAGTATTATTACAATCTTGTTACTATAAAATTTTTGACATAGCTTTTGCTATTATGTCTACATTAAACTAATATTACTAATACATCATGACATTTAACTATCACTATTATTATTATTGCAATTACTTACTATTCTGCATAACTTGAGAGCAAAGACTTTTTGTCGCAGCATATTTAATAGAGAGTGAACTCTCACCTACAATAATAAATAGAAATACAAAGTGAGGACAAATAATACTATTAACATACATTACTGATCAACACAATAACAAGCAAAAATAAATAATAAAAATATATGTATCATGTGAGGACAAGTACTAGAATACTAGCATACTAAAAATACTAGGAATAATAACTAATTGTGTAATAGTATATAATAATACTAAAAACAACAACAATAACAACAACAATAGAAGTAACAATAAAAAAAATAAATTAGGAGGCACAACTAACCACACATAAGACTGATTTGAGATGAGCAGTTAGATATTGACTGAAGTGGGCAAGCATTAGTATCACCAAAACAACCAGTCCCTGAAACACTGTACATATTATTACTCCACACTGGTTGACTCAGATTATAACGACTAAAATACCAAAAAATAGCAATCAACCACTAACTCAATATTATATAGCACTTTATTTTGGGGGTGCTTAATTTTGGTAATTTTGTTATAAATTGTAATTGGCAGTTTTTAATTGGCGAGTTATTGCGTATATACACATGCATTACTGAGCAAGCGCATTAATGATTGGCGGTTTTAATATTGGCAAATCTGCTTGCAAATGTACAATCGCTAAAATAAAACTCCACCAAATTAAAGTACTATAAGGTAACTTACGAAGAGGAAGTATACGAGACACAAGTATCATATCCTAGTTGCCTGCAGAGTGTGTTGGCATCAGTAGAATCAAACCCATTGTTACATATTGTTCCCCATTGTCCATTACAGTATAGCTCAACACGACCTTCATTAGAGTAATACCCTCCCTGTAGACGTATCATTCCAAGGAATGGGTTATCCCATATCTTAGTACTAGCTAAAGAAATAGATTATATTTATTGAAATAATTATTGTATACATGCAGCTTGTAATCTTGAGGGGAAAAATATGGCGTTTTAATAGATATAATCTGCCATTTTGAACCATTTTATGCATACTTGACAAATTAGATTTTGCCAAACACTAAAATTTAGCAATTTCAAAAAATTAGCAATTTGTTGTCAAAATTTACTCCCTCCAAAAATTACGGGCTATAAGGTAATAGAGACTTACAACATTGGACTATTACATCTTGACTATTGGAGCTGCATTGGTGATCAATCTCAGTGGAATAGAAGCACTGAGACACTGAGAGAAAATAACTGCCACAATCTAAGCCTTGCCATACTGTAGGTAGATAATCTGTACCATATCTGTAAAAACAGACTTTAGTAATTTATTATTATTATTATTCTTTGTTGTTAATTAATATTAATAATAATTATTATAATAGTTAGAAATACAACAGTTAAAAAATGCATACACTTAAATGTAGAAAAAATTACAATTAGATGTAGAAAAATGTGATAGTACAGAATTTGAGGTGGTAATTAAGTAAGTTAAAATATATTTATAATAAGCTATTCATTATCAAGATGTACTGTATAATCTCACCCAATTTTTGCATAGTAAAAGTTGTAGCAAAACATAAGAAAAAGTAATTATCATCAATATAAAATTTCACCAATTACTTTTCCACAGACAAATTTGCCTAATATTCCTCTCATATAATAAAATTTTGTAAGATAGATCAATTTCAAAAATTATGAGGAAAAATAAGTACACATTAAAGCATTTAGGCTAATTTATAATGGCTGAGATTAAAGCATACAATAAATTTAATTAGTATAAAATACCAACATTTCGAATAATTTACATTGTGTTCTGCCCAGAGGTAGAATAAGAAATCTCTGAATCAAATCCCAACTGATGACATATGACAACGGCCTCAACATAATGAAAGTACGCATCATTACAGATGTTACCCCAGCCATTGTAATAGACTCTGACTATCCCGGATGAGAAAGAACTCGACGTGGAATTAAATCGAGATAAAATGACTGTTCCATTAATCTGGCCTAAAAAGATATGAATAAACTATAATCACAGGAGGAAGTATAAAAAACAAGTGCGTATCAAGAGTGCAAAGATCAAGTTAAAAAGGATGTACTATTCCAGGCTGACAGGCTCTCTCATCACTTTTATAAATTGCAATACACGGCATTACTTCATATGTACTATAAGGAATGTAAAGTTTATGTATTCAGTACATTTATATACATGCACACATAAACACAAACACAATTATTATTGAAATAAGTATACTAGAAAGAATGTAAAACATTAACATGTAGATTTAGTAGCTGCTGGATACTTAATTTATTTATTGTTTTTGAGAACCACAGAGCCTATCAAAACTTCATACAATTATTCATTCTTCATGTTCATTATTTCAGCAAAAGCATTCATGCATAGAGTGAATGACCTGAGGCTAAAAACAATTATTTTAATGACTGCTAAATTATCATTATTTTATTTATTATTTTCGAGGTAATCAAGCTTTATTCATCCCTGATACCAAAATTTAAGCTGGAACAAAGCAGCTACGTCTTACAACTCACCACTAGTAATCCGGGTACAGCAGAGCCAGAGAAGAAGGAGAGGGAGAAAGAGACAGCGCCTCGCCATTCCACTTCTTATGCTAAGATTAGTAAGACGTCATTTTAGGTGTGGCCATAGAACAATGTGTAACCACCCACACTTACACCATAGATTAGATACCGTCTATCTGGAAATTTTTAATGTGATTTTAATTTTACTGGATTTATGGATTAGAGTTTCTCAAAAATTAGATTACCCATATAATTACATGCCATATTCAATAATACACGACACAGTCTTATTTAGTAAAAGTTAAATCACGGCACAATTTTAAAACTTAAAAATTTTTCTACCACACTAATTTCGTAATCTATAGTATTTAATGCTCACTAATAATTAAGAAAACTACATCATTATGACAAATTTTACAACTGGAATTAAGCTTAAGTTCATACTAATTCACTCTCAGTTGTACAAACTGGACTTCATGCATCTATAGTTATGGCCTCCTGGCTCCTGCATGAACTACTTTATTCATTTGATGATGGACGTATGTAGCAGCTGCATAAGATGCAAAATCCTTCCAACCTCTGCATTCATCTTTCCTCCCATCCCCCCAGTCAGCAACAGCCTTAATGACAATAGCCTCGACTTTATGATGAGCATCCCTAGCAGCAAGAAATATTCCAGCTCCTTCCATTTCACCACCGAGAGCATCAGGACGTACTTCTTTTAACTGCTCTTTAAATTCTGCATCATCAACCAACGAAACAAAAGAAGAAACAACGGGGCCACAATGGACTTTGACCTCTTTGGCATTTTCTTCAGCAGAATGTTTCTTTTGAAACCCAGAACTGTCCCCAAACAATGATAAAAGAGAGGGACCTGCTGGAGGTTGAGATTTACGAGCCTTGACCTTGTCTTTTTCCTTATCCATGGTGGATAAATCCACAATCATGTTAGAAACAATGACATCGCCAAGTTGTACTGTGCTTCGGTCCATTCCAAAGCAGATTCCAATGGAAATTATATATTTTGGCTTAAATTGATTTATTGCCATTATCTTTTTTGTAACTGTAGCAGCATCCAAACCACCTTGTTCAGCCTCTCCATGTGCACTCTTTCCAACGACAACCACCTGTTGTCCAAACTTTCCAATGTAAATCCAAGTAGCATTTACAAATGCACGAATAATTTTATTCTGACCATCTAATGGTTTTAAGTGGCCCAAAACTCCTCGAAGCTCTGTGGCAGTAGCAGTCATTAGCAGGTATTCTATATTTTCAACAAGATGATCAGGAAGCTCACTGACACACTGAATATTGCTCAGTTCTGGAAATAATGCAGAAGGTGGAATTGGAGCAGGAACTAGATCTATAAGTTAAACAAACATTATTTTGTATTTATAATACAAATGTAATGCAAAAACAGTAATGTAATTAAGTCATAGTGAAATACCTGTTTCTATTGTACTATTGTATGCATCAAATTTTGCTGCTTTGATGAACTGTGAAGCTGCATAAACATCTATGAAAAAGTATATAAAACAATTATTATTCACAGTTGCCATTATATTTTTATAGTAAATATTGTGAGAAAGTAAATTATGACTCATATAAAATTAGTGAGCTTTTGTATCCCATCAAAACTTTCTCCTCCAAAAAATGATAAAAATACCTTTAATATCTTTTGTAAGTGCAATATCATTTTCCAATTTTTGGACTATAAAAAAGAAAGATAATAGAACAATTATAATAAATATCAACAAACATGTTATTGCTTTTTCTTGAGTAGCTACTTTAATTTCATCAAGAAAGACAGATTTCTTTACTCCGTTATTTAAAGCATTATACACAAGATCGGAATCAGTCTTTATCTCATCAACTACTTGACCATCAATAAATTCTTCCAAGCCACTTTCTATAATTCTGTATAAACAGCATCACCATCATTGTACATAAAATACCTGTTATTGATGAAGCTTCATTCTGATGCTTTGAAGGTTTGCTAGCTTCATCACCATCAACCTGAGAAGCTTGAGGAGCTAATAAGACTTACAAAATAAAGAAAATTATTGTGTAATAAATCAGTGGCTTAATGAAGGAAGTGACTATTTATCTGAACCAAGTCTGAATGCATGGCAAGCTATTTTGTTATAATAAATGTGCATGAGCACAAGCTATTATTTTTTAATAACTTCAGCCATTAATGCAAAATGTGATTTTTTGTGAAATACCTTCTTCTGCTGTAATGGTGCTTGTGGTAACATAATCAGAAATAGTAACAGTTGCATTGCTACTATCAGGATTAGCAGGTGTTAGTGTTACTGCTGTATTGGTACCATCAGGGGTAGGAATAATTGGTGCTATATTGGTTTGTGAGGTATCAGGAAAAGTTGAAGGACCTGATAGAACAAATATTATCATTATACACATTTGTAGTACGGTGCGTGGGCGGATCAAAGGCGCCGCCAGTGCTACAACTTCCAATAACCGCACGGCAGGAAAATGTAGCACTGTGTGGAATATGTAGTACTGTGCAGTATAATATGTATGGGCTTTCCTGTTAACCACAAGCTTTGATAGGGGCAAATAACAGCCTCAGCTACATACACTAGACATGTAATAATAATAATAGTGATAAATGAGATCTGATCGTCTTGCGCTGGCCACCTGCGCGACTTTTGAAATTTCATTTGATCCGCCCACGCACCACTACAAACCAATCAAAGCACTGTTGATTCATAGATTATGGAAATTATTGCACTCGGGACGGTCTCGACGAAAATGTAGCACTCGGCTTCGCCTCGTGCTACATTTTCCTCTCGACCGCCCCTCGTGCAATAATTTCCATAACCTACTCTCAACAGTGCTTTAACTAATACATGTATGTATGTACATTAAAAATAGAAGCAATAACTTATAGACCCTCTGGGCGCTAAGACTATTTTTAATGAATCATTTACAGTAGCCACCCACAATATAAATTTACCGACGACAAGAAGTTCTCCACATCAAAGGTAGATCAAAACCATAAGTGCCAAAATGAAGCATAGCAAGAAAACTATGCTGCACCTGGTCTATATGATATAGTGTGGCCTCCATACTTTCCATAAATTCTGCTTGTGAGTCTGTAGTACCTTGTAGCGATAAAAGAATTAATGGCCAGGCGGTGTCACCGCCCTTGATCTTCCTTTGATCTCAAGGCTTTCCTTGTCGTCAGTAATTTACATTGTGGGTGGATACCGTATATTTATTATGAATGAATATGATTATTGTAATCATATTCATTAAAAATAGTCTTAGCGTATAGGGGGTCTATATTGCAAAAAACAAAGAATCCTCCCAAAACTAGATTTAACCATGCTGCAAAACTTTGGTACCTAATGTTCCATTCAACATGAACTGCATATTTATACTGACTAATAAATAATTTACTTGTTCAGATAATTTTGACATTATAGACCATAGGCATTTTATATACTAAAGTAAACCTACTCAGGAAAATGTCTCAGTGTATTAGTCAGTGACATGTCATTATATAATTCTATAATGTTACAAGACTATCAATTCTAATTAGCAATAATACAAGTACTACAAAAAAGCTTCATTACAATAATTGTTTATTTACCAGTTGGATTTGGTGGACTTTGACTTAAAGTCAATGAAGTGGTTTGGGTTACTACTGTCTCTTGGGTTTTTGCTTCTGTCTTTTGGATTACTATCTCAGTTGTTGGGGCAGTGTGCCATTGTTCTATAAATATACATACCATATAGCTAGCAGGAAAAATTGGTGGAGCTTTATTTTGGCAATTGGCAGATGAATGATAAAATTGCCAAAATAAAACTCACCATTTTACTTTCTTCTAAGCATGCTCAATTGCCACTGCCAAATATTCTGGCTATACAATATTGATTAAATGATTGTTCTTAAGATTGTTGTTTACCCTGTGATCTACACATGTGTATACTGAACACATACATACTTTACACAAAAAGGGGCTAAACTTTTTATGAATTTAATTAGTAGTTGGGCATATGGGTGCAGTCAAAATGGAAAAGCTAAGGCTACAAATTATAGGTTAGGCATTAATTGACATTGTCACAGGCTAACGTACCTATAAATAGATATATGCAGCAATTTTAACACTGCTATACAAAATTTATGCAAAAGATGGGAAAAATTCAACTTTAATGCATTTAAAGGCATTTAATTTCTTGCATAAAGCTAACTATGCAATGAAATTTTTTTCATTTAATCATTTTGTTTTTTATTCATTACCTGTAGCCTAGCATTGCATTGAAAATAAAAAGTACAAAATTCCCTATCTTTACTTTTCTTTTTGTATTCACAAGGTACATGGCCATCTTCCTCAAAGTAAGGATCTTGTAATACTACACTAGCAGTTGGTCTGTTGATTTTTTAAAGTAAAATTGTAAGCAAAATAAATTTACCTTGAATATTTATCTAATTGTATCATTTTTTCTATCAGATCTTTAGCCTTTGGTTTGTCATCTAGTAAACTAAAATCACATTTTTTATACATTTTCACATTTTGATCAATATCAGCATTATCTCCAGTATCAAAAGGATGGTTTCCACCAGTTTCAGCAAAATATATCACACACCCCATTGCAAATATATCTGACTCACGACCACATTTCTATATGTAAATTATAATTATTGGCTATGATTATGCAATTTCAGTACTTACACGCTGTTTTCTATTGTCAAGTAATAATTCAGGAGCTTTCCATGTATCCGTTCCTCTAGCTGTTCGTGTGGTCAATGAGTTCAGATCATCAATTAATGTAACAGAAATACCAAAATCAGCAAGGACTGCTTTAACGTCAGCAGATGATGAGCTCTTTTGAACCAAAAGAATGTTTCCAGGTTTAAGATCCCTGTGAACTGAATAACGTTAGCATTATTCCAGTAGAATTAATTTTTGTTAACTAGATTAATGCCACTAGCGTTATTTGTGTTAAAAATTTTGTAAGCTAAATTATAAAAACAACCTGAAGATATTCTGGCTCTGATTCAGCTATGTGCTAGCAGCCCCTCCCTCCATGCCTAAAAAGGGAGGGGCTGGTTACGCAATACTGACCATGTGCATACTCATTATGAAGAAATTAAATTGTAAGGGTGAATCAAGCATTTACTTTCGTCATAACATACCAACATTTCTTTTATGTAAATACTCCATTCCTTTTACTGCATCTTGGAGTATCTCTCTTATTACAACATTCAATCCAACAAATTGACTTGATACTGTTTCATAGTGCTTAAAGTACTACATAATTTTATATAACATAACTTATGATAAAGAACTATCACTAACTTTAGACAAAGAAGCCAAACAAAGTTCAAGAATAATATAGTCATGTTCATTATGCTCATCAGTTTCCTAATGATTATAATCAAGTTATATAATCTCAAAATTTAAAACTTACAATATTAAGTAATTGCACTATGTTTTCATGTTTAATATCCAGAAGTAGCAATTTAGCATCATCGGTTAATTTATCTTTCATTTTTTTCACAGCAACTTCTTGCCCTTCATAAGTACCTCTATGAATGGAATAAAAATAAGATATGATTATGCATCTACTTTTATTATCACTTCAGTTTGCAATCAAGAATTGAGTGTGTTTTGCATATTAAATTATTAATCACTAACTTATGAACAATGCTACTAGCCCCCTGTCCTAACTTTATACTGACATCGTATGAAAAGTTTGGATTAACTAGAGAAATTAATGTAATTGAAAATAATAAAAATAATGTCATTGAAATACCTTCTTTTATACGTGATGGAGATGTAGCAATAGTCAGTGAAGAATCTACAGAAATATATAAATACAAGCCTTTTACACGGTGTCTAACCAACCAGCGCTGTTACCTAATTCCAACATTTTCGTGAGTAGGGCTTATGTTTTTGCATTGGCCTAATGCTCATAAGACAGAAGCCCACACCTAATGTAACATTAGTTTCTCTTAATTTTTTTTTAATTCTATTTTTTACAACCTGGAAGCACATAGCTTTATATCTATAAATTGTTTCAGTCATGTGTGACTAGTCAATTATATTGGAATGAAAAGATAGTGATACCTTATAGCAACAAAACCACCTACACACCTTAAAAGTAGTCAGGTGTCGCCTGGCTATGCCCACAAACAATACTTTGTGCATGGTTACAATTTTACTTAAAATAGTGACATTTACAGGTAGTATAAATGAAATGCACAGAACAAAATTTCCCAATTAATACATCATAAATAAACTTAAGCCTATGTGAATTACATTAGTCCATAGATATATCTATGAGTAGTCCTAGTCTACAGAGTCTAGCTATGCATAGGTTAAAAAACTATGGCTCAAAGGGGTGCGCTCGTACCCTAGCCCCGCGCGGCCCCTTGGCAGTACTATTAATTATAGCTAGATCTACCATGCATCGTAGTGAATTTTACAACTTCAAGAATGCTTACCAGCCATTTTATGGATAACACATAAGTTAACACTTGAAGCCTGATTCACCTAGTCTCGCGGGCCGACTCACCAAGTATTACCACAGAAAAGATACTTTATATATGGTTGAGGTGGCGAGACAGGAGTTTATCGGGAAGTAAATCACGTGCATAATTATAATTAGGCCTTTAATATTGGGCATATGGGCTATGATGTACAGGAGGAGCTATTTATCTGATTGTACTTGTGACTGAAGTAAAGGCGTGGCTCATAAACTTTTATCATTCAAATCACTAGTTTTTCCAAAAGGCAAAAAATTACAATACTAAAATCCTAACAATGACTTTCTACTTATTTAACTCAACAGCTAGTTCTTTTAGTTTAGAGCATCTGCAGGAACATTGTCTAAATGATAATGAACATATGTAGCAGCTGCATGAGATGCGAAATCCTTCCAACCTTTGCATTCATCTTTCTTCCCATCAGCCCAATCACCAACAGCCTTAATGACTATAGCATCTACTTTATGATGAACATCACTAGCAGCACGAAATATTCCAGTTCCTTCCATTTCACCACCGAGAGCACCAGGACGTACTTCTTTTAACTGCTTTTTAAATTCTGCATCATCGACCAAAACAGAAGAAGAAACAATGGGGCCACAATGGACTTCAACCATTTCAGCATTTTCTTTATCAGAATGTTTCATTTTAAACTCAGAAGTGTTTCCAAACAATGATAAAAGAGTAACTCCTGCTGGAGGTTGAGCTCTACGAGCTGCAATACTCGCTGGTTCCTTACGATAGGTAGATAAATCTATAATCATATCAGAAACAATGACGTCACCAAGTTGTACTTGGCTTTGATTCATTCCATAGCAGACTCCAACTGCAATTATATACTTTGGCTCGAATAGATCTGTCTCCATTATCTTCTTTGTAACTGCATAAGCATCTAAACCACCTTGTTGACTTTTACCATATGCACTCCTTCCAACCACAACTGAGTGCTTCCCATACTTTCCAATGTAAATCCAAGTAGACTTATTTACGAATGCTTCGATAATTTTTTTTGCACTATCTAATGGTTTCAAGTAGCCCAGCACTCCTCTAAGCTCATTTTCAGTTGCAGTCATTAGCAGAATCTTTATATCTTTAACGATATCTTTAGTGGCGTCATTAGGTAAATCTTTCTCATAACTTTTATCACCCTTTTTTGGAAATAATTCAGGAGGTGGGATTGGAGGAGGAATTATGGCAGCATCAGGAACTATATAAAATATACATTAACTACTGTATATAGCATGTCAAAACTGCAAAATTTAATATGCAAGTAAAAAGAAGGACTTGCAAAATATTTTATTTGCAAAACTTCAGGCTATAATTTGAGCCAAAAGCAAATGATGCAGTGATTACTTTATAAGGGGTATTGTGTTTGGCAAATTTTTTAATTTGAGAGTCATTGACAAAAACTGCCCCACATATAATATATATACAAGTATATCAAACTCTACCTTGTTGTTGAGTTCTGATTTCTCTACCATAAAAACTAGGTAGTGCTTCCTATTATAGCAAAATTAGAAATGTATAACTAGCTATAATTATTATAAACAACAAAATCACTTACATGATTAATAGCAATACTCTCAATTCCAGCTAATCGTATTTCATTAGCTACTCTACGAATAGCATCTACACACAAGAATGGTATAGTACATATAAATGTTAACCAGCTCTGGTGTACAGCTCTCAGTGCCACAAACATGGAAAGATCTTCATCTTTAAACTCTTCAGTAATGCATTTTTGAAATCTTGCTAGGGTTACCTCAGATGGACTCCATGACGTCACAACAACCATCTAAAATTAATAGGATTATACATTACACTGCAAACTTTGGGTCAACTACAATTATAATTCTATTTAATTAGATTTTCCAGTATTTGTATTTGTAATTGTATTTTGTCAATATTTTAATTTTTAGACCAAAGTATTTGTAATTCATTAAAAATACTTCCAATCAAAGAGGCCTGCCTAAGTAAACAAGATCAGTACACAATGTGTTAATTGTTAATGTGACTTTTGGTTAATCCTTTTAAACATGTTAAATGCATGTGTAATTTGAGAAAATGACAATTTGCTAAATAAATACTAAAAGTATATTTGAAATACTTAGTCAAGTATTTGTAGATTAAATACAGCTCAGGTATTAGCATTTGTATTCATACTACTCAAATGTATTTGTATTTAAATTCACTTAAGCCTGGTTTCCACATACTGTAGATCGGGAAATTTTCGTTGTTGAAATATTTTCGCAGATGAAGTGACCCACAAAAATTTGACACACGAAATATTTTCTACAGTAAATAATAAGATCACTGAAATTATTCCAACGTGTAGCGGTGCATGCACGAGGCTCTTCTAGTCTTCTAAAAGCCCAAAGAAGGCCTGAAGCTCTCACCCAAAAGTTTCCTTGTCAGTTTTAGTACTGTCACGAGTAACTTCCATTGAATAGCTGTCCATCATCATCAAGAGTTAGTAGCCACTTGTGCGGTTTATGATGCGTCCAAAAGTTTTTATGTTGAAAAAATTTCGCGGATGGGTCAACCAGCGAAAATAAAACACCTTGAAAAAATGTCACGCCAATTATTTCTAACATGAAAATTTCCCAATTTACGGTAGCCATACAACAGCCTTACAACACAGTTGCAACAATTGTGGAGATAGAAATCTGGGTCTATCTCCACAGTTGCAACAATTGTGGAGATAGAAATCGGGGTCTATCTCTACAACAATTGTATGCTAACCACAGAATATATACAACAGCTGCAACTATATTTAAGGTGTGTTTGACCCCAAGTCTGTTAATTGACACTGAATGAAATTACCTCCACATGGTAGTTATTTTTAATCTTGTGATCTATGATCCCTTCTGTAGCGAAATCTTTAGCAAGTACTTCGCTATTGAAGGCATCTCTCTCTTTAGCTAGCTTTTCAATTGTTGACTTTGATTCCTTGAGGTTTAGATCATCTGTCATATACTTCAGTAGAGAAAAATTTGAAAGAAAACAATATCGCTGAAGAAATTTTGCTAAAGATACTGCATCTAAAATTGCTTCAACTTCATTTTTCACTTTATTTTTTAGACAACTCTTAACCTCATCCAGAGACTTTTTTTTCAGAGCTTCACTTGCAGCAAACATCAGTAAGAAATTAAAATCATCTTTCATTTTGGTATGTCTCTCCTTGATAGATGCTACCAACATTAAAACATAAAAACAGCTTTTACATGAATTTTCACTATACCTGTGAGACTAGCTGGTTTAGTTTTCATAACTGTTTTGTGACTAGAACTTGCCAATATACCTATAAAAATAAAGTCATAAATATTATGGTGAATGATCAAGCAACAAAATAATGTAGATATCGATCCTCTTTGACTATCATGTGGAGGTCAATAGCAAAGGGGCATGGCGAGACTAAGATCTCGTCTCAGTATGCACTGTCTCACCTCTACATCTCTCCTTGTAGTCTTGAATAAATATGGAGGACTTTGATTTATCCTCAATATTGGATACATCACCAACCGTTATAATATTCTGCTGCAGAAGTAGTATTGTAAAATTAACTGGATTATAACGATTGACATTCCTACGATCGAGATGAACGATAGAGGTGATAAGCTTAGCACTGCTAAACTCTTTCTCACTCATGCTACCGTAGTAGTCAGCAACTGTCAGGCAGAGGTCAACTTTAGGATACTCTGTGTTAAGATCAAAATCTGGTGATGCAAACTGTTTCAGTGTCCTAGTACGTCCCCAGCTAGATCTCTCCAGTACTGCTATCGTGAATGCAACAGCACGTGAGCATGAACCCAACTTATTCTCCAATGGCAGAAAACATTCAACAAAGTCTTCCGTATCGAGAGAAAAGTTCTTAAGTACAACTTTGACTGCCAAAAGATATCTACTAATTTGATATCCATCAAACTGAACTCCGAAAGGCCTAAGAGTGCTGTAAACAACATGTTCAAATTTCTCGAAACGCTTCAGTTCCTCTGTCAAGCTATCATCGATCTGAACCGTTTTATCGACGAAGACCTCCAAGTCATCCAGTTCTTCCCATCCAAGACCAGCCAAAATAGCATGTGCGTATGCTAGCGCCTCTGCCTCGGACCTTTTCGATTGATGTTCTTGAAATACTTTCTTAAACCTGGCAGCTGGATCTAGCACTTGGGGTGCTAATTTGATATCAATAACATATAGCAACTTCTGGTAGGCTGCAACAAAGTAAGGAGGTAAAGAACGAGAGAGACGATCTTTCACTTCATCAAAAGACATCTTGTCTTCAAGTTGATACTGTAAAAACTCTAAATCTCTCTCTCTAATATAGGTTCGATCGCATATAATTATATCGTGGCATCATAACCACGCCCCTTTTTGTAATTCCGCGCACCTTAAACGAGCATGCGCAGTATAAAACGGGGGGTGGTCTGCCCAAAAATGGAAGCAAATATTCAAAATGGCGATTACACATGATAAAGATCTTGATAACATCAGTTGATTTACATAGTAACAGTAAAAGGAAGAGGCTACAATTGCCTGGCCTCTTATTTCCACATGTTTCTTGTTCTTATCTTCTGACTAAATCACTGTTACGTTGTTTATAGCGAGTCTATCTAGTCATAGTGAAACAGGCCGAGCTTCAGGACGATCAAGGAGTCATTCAGGATGACTTTTAACATCGAGTTTGAGTCTGCCGAAGAGAAAGGTGCCTTTAGTCATCATTTAGAAGATTTTCAATCCTTGCTATCTAAGAACAAGCTAGATAGCTTTGGTCTGTTGACAGCCATGTTTAATTTTATAGTTTTAGTTAAAGCTGCATGATGCATGGCTCTTTTGAGTCTTCTGCTGGTATAGGGAGTTAGCAAAACTGTCTGTACTCTTCTAAGAGTCTTTTTTAGATCTTGTGGATGCCTGTGGTGCTTGCATTCTGTGATTCTTCACTGCCCATTTTTAATTACATTCTAAAGCCACCCGCCATTTTTAATTGACTGGGCAGCCCACCCCCGTTTTATACCCGTGCTCATGCTAGGTGCTGTAGCAATCATCACGTAAGGTGGAGCAGTGGTTATATTCTGCACATGCTCGTTTAAAAGAAGTACTTGTAGTACTTTCTTGCAATTTGTGGCTTTGATGTGGTTGTGCAACATGTTGTGATGTAGACATGTTGTACTACTCGTGTACTGTACATAACAAAGTTGCCCAGTTTAATACTAATATAAATAGATTTTAAAACACATGATGCACCCACAACTAATATTGAGAATTCAGTCAAGCCAAACGTATTAAAGAATAAATTGAAGTAGTTGAGGTTTTAGGAGATGATAATAACAATGTGTATAAAAATAAATAGAACTACATTTTATTAATTCAATAATGATAAGTCCATGAATTCTGCTTTGAACTATAACACTCACTCCTCCAAGCATAAGGAGTTGAACCAGTACTTCTCTTCCAAGCATCAAGTACTGCTGCTAGACAATAACTATTGTTACAATAATCAATCATCACCAGTTAATTGATTTCAACGACAAAACCAAAATGGTTTT